AACTCAGGGGGCAGCTAGGTGGCTCGGGTGGTTAAGCATCTGCCTTCAGCTCATGTCATGATCTCAGGGTCCTGGGATTGAGCCCTGTGTCCAGCTACCTGCTCAGCGAAGAGTCTGCTTCTCCCTTTCCTTCTCCTCCTCTCCATGCTTGTGCTCTCTCTCTCTCAAATAAATAAATAAAATATTTAAAAAAAAATAGAACTCAGGATCTCCAGGTCAGCCCAAATCTAAGCAACCAAGAACCTAGAGCAAAGGGAACCACAGAGAAAACAAGGAATGATTCTTCACCCCTTCTTCCTTCTGAAGCATCCACCAATATTCCAGCTGCTTGGGAGCAGAGCCTGAGAAACCGAGCTGTGAATAGCAGCTGAGAGACGAAGAGTCCAGACCCAGCTTTTGATAACCTCACGGTGCAGGGGAGGCAGGAATCGGGAGCTGAGAGCATGCAAGGAGGAGGCACCTTGGTGGGCATCCCAGCTACCCTTTGAGAAGGGCTGTAAGTGGGGGCAAGCCAGAAAGAACCAGTCACTGTGAACACTGAAGCGTGGCCCCAGTCATCCCGGTCATCACCTGGATCAAAGTAACGTGCCTGTGCGTTGCCTGCCCACCAGGAGGCACACGTTCCCCTCTGAGTAAGGACGGCCCGCTCCAGAGCCTCTGCGCTATTGGCACACACAGTATGCACCATTACCAGGCGTGCCAGGAGACAGAACCAAGTGATCCAAGAGAGATAAAGAGAGAAAATAGACAATAGAAATAGACCCACAGGTTATCCAAACGTCACAAGGTGCAGACATCGTCTTTGTGATGAATACTCGCAGGAAGATGGACAAGATGGGGAATGTCAGCTGCAATGACCTAGCGCTTATAAAAATTTTGCTCATATGGAAATTCTAAAACTGAAAAATACAATGATTCAAATGAATGTAATACCTTAATTCACACAGCAAAGGAGGATGTGAACAGGGCAGTATCCACCTCAAGAAATTGTTAAGATGACAGATTTCAAGTCCAAAGGAATGACAGGAAAATGACAAGATAATGAAGATGAGAGCAGATATTAATGAAATCACGTGTTAGGTATCGGCACCTAGAAAGATCCAGGAGAGACAGCCTGGGTGGCTCAGTCGGTTGGGTGTCTGTCTTTGACTCAGGTCATGGTCCCGGGATCCCACATTGGGCTCCCTGCTCAGTGGGGAGTCTGCTTCTCCCTCTCCCTGTGCCTCCCCCTGTTGCTTGTGCTCTCTCTCTCTTGCTCTCTGTCTCAAATAAATAAAATCCTTAAAAAAAAAGAAAAAGATCTGGAAGAGGGAATCAGAAGCCTGGGTCAGAGTGCTGGCTCTGTCACCATCTTGCTGTGTGACCTTAGAGAAGTCACTTGCCTTCTCTGAGCCGCAGTTTCCTACATCAGAGAAATAAGCATAATTATCCAATTTGCCCCGTCGGTGTGAGGATCACACGGAGGACGGTTGCAGCCCCTCTTCATTAGACATGCTGATGTTACCAGCAACCCTCGTGCAGAGGCCGAGGAGGGCATCCCAGCCTGGGGAGAAGCGTGCACTTGGACAGGTGTGAACTACACTTTCAGAAACCCGTACTGTTCACCCACCTGGTATTCCAAGCATTTCAAACGCTTCATCTGTCAGTGGCTGGTCATTAGCAGCGTCTCCCCATTGCCAGGTGGGTTTATCTTTGTTAGGGACCCACTTTTAGATAAATCTTGACGTTCTGGGTCCTTGAAAGGGCATGAACGTGCTTCGGCACCATGTGGGTCACCCCGCTAGTGTGTCACTGGCATTCTCTGGTGCCTCCTCCAGGAGAGGTGTACCTTGGAGATAGCGTGGGGGCCGGGTCCCAGACCGCCACAGTGAAGCTGGCCGTGGTAACGCAGTGAGTCAAATGAATTTCCTGGTTTCCCAGTGCCGACAAGAGTTGCATGTATACCATAGGAGTCTATTCAATGTGCAATAGCATTTTATATCTTTAAGAATCAAGATAGAGGGATGCCTGGGTGGCTCAGCGGTTGAGCGTCTGCCTTCGGCTCAGGGCATGATCCCGGGGTCCCGGGATCGAGTCCCACATCGGGCTCCCTGCAAGGAGCCTGCTTCTCCCTCTGCCTGTGTCTCTGCATCTCTCTCTGTGTCTTTCATGAATCAATGAATGAAATCGTAAAAAAAAAAAAAAAGAATCAAGATAGATACCTTAATTTGAAAATACCTCCTAGCAGAAGAGAGCTAACCATCATCTGAGCTTTCAGCCCATCATAATCACCGGTCGCAGATCGTCTTAGCAAATGTAGTAATGAAAAAGTTGAAAGTATTGGGAGAATTACCAAAGTGTCGCAGGGAGATGCAAAGTGAGTAAGTGCCATTGGCACTGGCACCCATAGACTTGCACGACGCAGGCTGGCCGTGGAACTTTCCATCTGTAACAAGTGCAGTGTCCGCAGAGCACGAGAAACGGAATGGTTTGTCTCCGGTGTGTGGCTGCAGAGGACAGCCACTCTGCAGGTGGGACGGGGAGCTGCGTTCTCCCCACACCCTGTTTTTTTTTTTTTTTCAGGGAGGGGAGGTGGCCGGCCTCCCTCACTGCACACTTGGCATCTTGGCTTTAGGTCCCATGTCCGGGAGCCGGGCTGGCACTCCCCCGTGTGTCACAGGCTGCCTCGCTTACTGGAGCACAGAGAAGTCACGCATTCCTCGTTTCTTCCCCGGGGCCAGGGAAGGGGGTGGAAGGGTGTTCTTGCTTTTCCACTGCAGCTTATGCCAGGGCTTCGGAAAGCACTAATTGATACCAGCACGGAAGCCTCTGCCAGGAGGTGGGATCCAAACACGTGCTCTAGCCTCCGAGACACAGCTGCCGGGACGTGCTGCGTGGACGGGAGGAGGGTATAGGGGTTCCCCTGCTTCTGCAGCCCAGCCTTGCCCTCTCAGCCCACCCCAGCACCAGCGTAGACCACGAGGACCTCCCTCATGGAGCCAGGCGTCGCCGGGCACCTGACCTCTCGTTCAGGATTTTATTTGGTCTGCGTGGTTCAACAGCTCTATTTAAGCGACCTTGGCTCTGCCCTTGGCACCGGGTACAGAGTCAGTGAGAGCGTCCTGGGCCGTGCTCGTCATGAAGACAAATGCAGTGAGAATGTGTCGCTCCTCTGCTCAGACCCTGCAGCGGGTCCCCATGTCATTCAGAGCAAACTTAGTCTTGCCAACGGCTTCCACCCCACCCCACACATGCCTGCTTCTCTCCTTCACGTTGATCCAGGGGTACCAGCCTCCTTTCTCCCAAAGCCACCAGGGTGTTGCAGGTGCCTAGGAAGCTCCCACCTTAGACTCTTTCACGATGTGTCCCAACCCCCTGTCCCAGAGCCTGGCACATCGCCGGGCCCTAGGAAATAACGTAGTGAGTAAATCAGATGATCCGACAGACTTTGCCTGGTTGATGGCCCAGAAAAGTGGATAAAACCTGTGTTATCACCCCCATTTTCCAGGTAAAGAAATGGTTCAAAGTGAGCAGGTGACTTGTTCACAGTCACACAGAGAATGGGTGGGACAGCCTGAGAATCAGTCTTCTGACTCTTGGGCTTTGCTTTTCTGCTCAGATCGCTCCTCTGACCTGTTGGTCCTTGCCTTTCCCCATTCCTTCATGCCATCCATACGCCAGGGGACGGGGGCCCAACCATGACTGAGATGGAGTTCCTGTGCTCATGGAGCTCCCAGCCCAGGGAGGAGATAGATAAGTGTAAACAGTGCAGGTGGAGTGGAACCACGATACTGTGGAAGCCAGGAGGGGACCCTGCTCCTGCCAGGAGTGGGCAGGCCTTCCTCCAGACGGGAGCACCTGCTGATTCCTGAAGAATGAGCAAGAGTCAAGCAGGGTGGGATGGGCTTTCTGCACAGTGGGGTCAGCCTGGGGTCAGTCACATTGCTTTAAGTTATGAGTAATCTGCTTTACAAAATAAAAGAGATGTATTAGTATCTCATGTTATTGAAAAGTTGAGGTGTCGCGTGGGCTGCAGGTATGGCTAGATCAGGGATTCAGCACCACTTGTCTCAGCTCTGTTCAGCTGTCCCCTCTTCCACATGAGCTGCTGAAATGGCCTGACTTTTGTATGCCAGACCAAACAGCCAGAGCAGAATAAAGTCTCTGCCCTCCCCGCAAGTCAGGGGTTTCAGAAGTGTGATCGGATGAATTAGCGCACATACCCGTCCCAGGTCCGAGAGGGTGGGGAATCTCTGCCAGCCACGTTAACCTGATTTTTAAGCATCCCCTCCCCGCGCCCTGCCCCCCTCCCGCTTTCCTACCAAAAGGCAATCAATAACCCTTCAACTGTCACTTTCCTAGAAAAAAAAAATGGATCCTGCTCGTGGACATCTACATATCGAGGATAGGAACAAATTGACAGGGCAGTGATTAGGTCGGGGACGAGGGACACATTCCGAGCAAAGACCAGAGTCGTCATGCTCATGTGAAGAGATGTGACCACCACAAAGCCAGTGCAGTCTGGGGCGGGGAGGGCTCATGTGGCGGGCATCTGAGGAGTCCCTCTTTGCTTTCTTTGATGAAAATATACCCTCCCACCCCCACTTCTCTATCTTCTTCCTACTGTAGACCCGTGACAGACAGGGTGTTGCTTCCAGAGCAGAGCCCCTCCAGGCACGGGGAATCAGAGGCCCGTGGATTGGGATTCAGGTCATGCTTCCCCCTTTCCCCATGACCTTGGGCAAGTCATTTCACCTCTTTGAATCTCAGTTTATTCTGAGCACAAAACAGGGAACCCCAATCAGGCTGGCAGTATGCAGGGAGGACGGCTGCGGGAAGTCGCTGTACATGAATGGTTTTTACCATCACGTCTGGTTTTTAGTGGATCACCCAAGAATATTTATCCATGCATTGATAGAGGAAAAGCTTAGCAATTGCCCAATAGATCCCAGAAGCTCGGCATGTAGCATCTTATCTTTATAACCATTTGTAAGTGGAGGTGTTGTTTTCCCATTTTACAGAGGAAGATTGACCTGACTTCCCAAGACCATACATCTGGTAAACTGGAACCTGCACCTGCGCCATCTCAAGCCTACTCCGGAGGCCCGAGGCTAATTGGCAGAGTTTGAGGGCTGAGGTGGGCAGAAGCATACAGTCCTTGATGGAATTCAAACCCCAAAAGGGAGTGACGGAGAAAGAAAGTAGCATGTCCTTGGCCTGTGCTGAACCATCTCTGTGTGCATCGCACCCTACGTGCACGCTTGACTCATTCCACAGACTTCGGTTGAATGCTTAAATGTACCAGGTTCTGGTCGGGGGAGAGACGGTGGGGCGACTCCTGTGTCCCTTAGCAACCTTGCAGAATGGGCGTTGACATCCCAGTATAGACACGCACACACCAAGGCCCAAGAGGGTAAAGAGATGGTCCGTTGCCACCCACCGCATTGGCCTGGCCCCAGAGCAGAAGCTGACAGAGCTCATCCTGGAGGAGGTGGTGAGAGGGAAATGGTGTTTTAGAGCAAACTAATAGAATTTCATCCTGTTTTCTTCCTCCTTTTCTGTGCAGATGACAGACAACCCTCAGTGCCTTCATCGGGCGGGCTGCTTACCTGCCCATCCCTGGTGACAGCATGGGAAAGGCCGCTTCTAATTAAGCGTCATCACACATCACCCTCTTCCGGAGGAAGAGTGGCAAAGACAGCTCCCCTCTATCCTGCACTGTGACCCTTCCTCCGAGGTCCTCCCCTCACCCCCGAGAGTCCATGCCCTGTCACCAAGATTAATTACCCCTCAACCCCTTTGGATGGCAAAGGCAGTCATTTTATTAAGTTTGATTAAAGCTTCAAGAGACATTGCCGGATGTTTCAGGACTGCTGACAAAGCAGCCTGCTTGTTTCCTGAAAAGACCAATTATATGCGAGAAGCGTCAGCCCCCCTCCCCGAGGGGTCCACTTAACCTCCGACCACCACAGGGTGATGTCCAGCGCACCGGTGTGGCCATCACCTGGCGGGAGTGAGGTCTGCTGTAGCAGGTCTGGAGGCCCCCCTGCGAGTCCCTGCCTCACCCTGTGACCAAGCCTCTCGTCTCTGGGAATTTTGTTCCAAATTCCCCATCTACCAGGCGTGATTTCCTCCAGCCCCGCCAGCCCCAGGAGGCGCCCATCCAGAGAGCAGAGATGGTGACCATGAGAAAGAGGACTCTCAAAGTGCTCACCCTCCTCGTCCTCTTCATCTTCCTCACCTCCTTCTTCCTGAATTACTCCCACACCATGGTGACCACCACCTGGTTTCCCAAGCAGATGGTTGTCGAGCTCTCGGAGAACTTTAAGAAGTTCATGAAATACACTCACAGGCCTTGCACCTGTGCCCGCTGCATCGGGCAGCAGAGGGTCTCGGCCTGGTTCGATGAGAGGTTCAACCGGTCCATGCAGCCGCTGCTGACCGCCCAGAACGCGCTCTTGGAGGAGGACACCTACAGCTGGTGGCTGGTGAGAGCCGGGGCTGGGTGTGGGGCTGGGGCCCAGCGGGACGGGCGTGCGGAGTGTGGGGAGGGGTGCACCTGGGGCCCTGCCGGGCGCTTAGCCAGATTTGGGATATTGGCCTGCATTCATTCGTTCAACAATGATTTACCGAGGATGTGCTACATGTAAATCAGTGCAGAGTGCTCCGTATTCGTTTGTGGGGTCTGCTGGAGCCGACTGCCGCAAACTGGGTGCCTTGAAACAACAGACACATCACGCCAGGCTCTGCCTCCATCCCCACCTGACCCTCTCTTCTGGGTCTCTCTGCATCTCTGGTCTCTCTCTGCCTTTCTGTGCAAGGCCACCAGTTACTCCGTTCAGGGCGCCCTAAATTCCAGGTGATCTCATCTCGAGATCCTTTTTTTTTTTTTAAGATTTTATTTATTTATTCATGAGAGACACACAGAAAGAGGCAGAGACACAGGCAGAGGGAGAAGCAGGCTCCCTGCAGGGAGCCTGATGCAGGACTCCATCCCAGGACCCCAAGATCACTCCTCGAGCCAAAGGCAGACAGATGCTCAACCACTGAGTCACCGAGGTGCCCCCATCTTCAGATCCTTAACTCAACAATCTCTGTAAAGTGCCTTTCCCACAAGGTCCCATTCACAGGTTCCGGGAGTTGGGGCTTGGACCTTCCTTTGTGGAGGCTACTGGCTCCACTCGCTGCAGATGTTGAGATGCAAAAAAGACACAAGGTCCTTACCCTCATGGAACTGGCTGAGAGAGAGAGAGTTAAGAAACCAAGAAGACAGGCTCGGGTGGAAATGCCTTGGGGAAGGTCAGATGAGGTTTGTGATAGAGAGAAGCTGGGGTCGGGGACCTCTGAACATGGGGCCATCAGGCCATCTCTGAGGAGACAAGACTTGAACTAAAACCCAGAGGTAGAGGAGGCATCGGCCGTGGGAGGATCCGGAGAATGTGCTACAGGTCATGGTGGCATCCAGCCTGGGAGCCCCGGGGTGGCCCCTGCTGGGGTGTATTGGAGGAGCAGGGGGCCTGGCAGTGGGCAGCACCCACAGTGGGGCATTGGGTCCGTTCTGTGTGCGACAGCAAGCCACTGTGAATCTGAAGGGAGTCCTGTGATCTGATCTAGTGGTTTGAGAGGTTATTCTGGTTGCTGAACCCCAAAAGGGAATGGAGGGGAGTAAGACATAATTTATGCCTTTCAGATTTATTGAGTACCTACTATATGCCAAACACCAATAGACTGAGACCGAAAAGACGATCTTCCCTTTCTTGGGGGTTGCAGGGGGCGGTGAGAGGGGAGGAGACAGACAGCCACACGCTAGGGTGATAGGTGCTGCTCGGGAAGTGGCACAGCAGGTGCAGAGGCCCAGAACCCAACCCTGGGGCTGGGGCCGGGGCTCTCGGAGAGGGCTTCCCGGGGGAGATAGTGGCGCAGCTCATCATAAGGGACTCAGAGAGGTGGTCCAGGTGGGGAGCAGATGGGGGCTCTCCAGGCGGAGGGGCCGGTTTGCGTATTGGCCTGGAGGCGTGAGAAAGGCCTGCGTGGTTGCTGGAGAGGTAGGGCATCCCGGCTAACCTCCAAATGGGAGGGAGGAGCGGGGTGCGAGCCATGAGGCCGTTGTCGTGGCTCATGAAGTTCTTCATATATCATGTTAAGAAGTACAGAGAGTTGCCCGTAGGCTGAGAAAACCAGGGGGGCCTTCCTGCAAGAGGCCGGCTTTCCCAGTCAGCAATTCTTTAAGCATCTGTTGCCCTCTGGGAGCTTACGGTCTCTTGGAACAGCTGAGAAGAGTCTACAGTGACTCAGGAGAAGTGAATCGGAGTGCCCGGGCTGAGTCTTGGTTCACTAGGGCTGTGCTGAGCACCTCAGTGTGCGATTCCTGGGGTGACAGGCCACAACAGGCCAGGCCTTCACCCCCTGGAAGATTCCAGTGTCTGCTGAAGTGGCCCATGCTTGACCAGGATTAGGGCAGGGTTTCAACCTCGTGCTCTTGACCCTCGGAGTCATCTTCTGTGCCTGGACCATCCTGCACGTTGTAGGATGTGTATTAGCAGCATCCCTGGTCTCTACCCCTCAAATGCCGGCACCCTCCCCCCACCCCCCAGCTGTGAGAACCAAAATGTCTCCAGATAATGCCAGGTGACCCTGGAGGGGGGACGAGGGATCGCGGAATTGCCTCCATAACCACTGGGATAGAGGAGCGAAAACTCGGTTAAGAGAAGTGATTTGCTCTAAGCAGCACACCCGATCTCGCCCTCAGTACCTAGAAGTGATGATGAGAAACTTCTAGAATGGGTAGCAGGACAGTACTCACCGGCTTCCTTCCCAAAGGTCTTCGGGGAGGGCAGTTCCTAAACCTCTCAGGCTGGCTTAGCCCAGGATGGATAAAAAGGTCTAAGAAAAAAAAAATTCCATTTCTTGCTATACCTGCATCTTCACAGGACACGCTCTGTGCCTTCTAGGCTCAGGAATTAGGACTTGGCATCACCGTGCATCATGGTGCCTGGGTTTTGCTCCTGACTTTCTAGGTCTTGCTTTTGAGGAACCTCTTCATCTGGCTGAGTCTCAGATTGAGGCCGTCACAGCTGCCCCGCCAGCCACCCGCTTCTCTGCACCCCTGCAAGCGTTAGGTTTTTTTGTTTGTTTGTTTGTTTTTTGCAAGCGTTAGTTTTTAACACTTGTATTTATTTTTGCCGGCTGAATGGGCAAGTCTGAATGAATTTCTTCCCCCCGCGCCCCCCCCCCAACAGCGCTTATCCAAAGCTGAACGTTTTTCTTTTCCTTTTTTTTTTTTTAAGATTTTATTTATTTATTCATGGGACACACACACACACACACACAGGCAGAGGGAGAAGCAGGCTCCACGCAGGGAGCCCAACGTGGGACTCGATCCCTGGTCTCCAGGATCATGCCCTGGGCGGAAGGTGGCGCTAAACTGCTGAGCCACCCCGGGCTGCCCCTGAACATTTTTTCTAAGCGACTGTTGGGATGTTATCAAATTGCCCTCCCGTGTCCCCACCTGCAGCCCTTAGCTGCACCCCTTCTTCCCTGCAGTTCAAGCCCTTCGTGGCCACTTGGAAGGGATGGGTAGTGGCGGGGAGAGAGCCCTCACCAGTAGAAATCAATAGAAAGGAGCAGGGCTGTACGGCTTCTTAGGTTCCTGGACAACACAGAGGCCACAGGTCTTTTTTTTTTTTTTTTTGTATTTTATTTATTTATTTGAGAAAGAGAAAGAGAGAAGGAGCAGGGGGAGGGGCAGAGGCAGAGGCAGAAGCAGACTCCTCGCTGGGAGCCCAATGTGGGGCTCGATCCTGGGGAGTGTGGGATCATGGCCCGAGCTGAAGGCAGACGCTTCACCGACTGAGCCACCCAGGCACCCCCCGCCCACGTGTCTTGAGGAAAGAATCAGGACCCCGTATTGGACAAGTATTCCTGTTCTCTGGTTGGAGCACAGGGTATTTGAGGTCAACACCACCCTGTGCATTCCAGGATGCATCACAGCGTTGCATGCAGGCCCCCTCACAGCCGGGACCATCTCGTCGGCAGATCCGGACCCAGGACCCCAGACCCCAAGTGGAGCCCTTGCCTTTCAGATGCTCAGAGGCTGGGGGGTGGGGGTGGCTGCTGGGGGCTGAGCTGGAGGAGAACCAGCTGAAGGTGGCTGGTGCCTCGGGACAGGGGAGGGAGGCCCCAACTCTCCCTGGACTCACTCTGCCCCAGACGACTAGTGTCGGGTGCTCCTGCCATCTGTGCAAGGGGACACCCAGCCCAGGGAAGACAGGCCACTCAGCCACCTGTGAGGAGCCGGGCCTGGGACCCAGCACGCTGGCCTCCCTTCCCCTGGACCCCAGAAGGGAGGCCGGGAGGGGGTGCGGGTCAGAGCCGGAGCTGTGGGGAGCTGGAGTCTAAGGGACTGAGATGCCTTGGGAGTTGCGAAGCCCCCGAGAGGGGAGCCGTAGGGCAAGCTGGATTTAGAAGGAGGAGCAAGGTTCCCTGGGCGGAGAAGAGAGGAAGGGTAGGAGGCGGGAGAGGGTACCTCTTTCCAGGGGCGTCAGGAGGCCGGATGTCCTCTGTGCCGCAGTTCACACCCACCGGCTCCCCCGTGCCGTCGGGCGAAGTGCAGGGGCGGTGAGCGAAGCACTCGGCGTCTGTGCCCTGAGTGAGGGTGCCCGCGACCTGCATCCCCCTGGCCCTAGCCCGGTGGAGCGGACCCTGCACTTGCTTCCCCGCCCTGCCCTAAGTCACAGGACAGCCTCAGGGAGCCCCCAGCCCCCAGTTGGCAGGCACTTACGGAGCACCGACTGTATACAAAGGGGATACTTGGATGCTCCCCTGCAAGAGTGAGAGGGGGAGGGTGTTTTTGAACTTCTCAGCATCCTTTCGCGTGCGCGAGTTAGCAGCCTGGTGATGCTTTTACCGTCACTTGCAAAAGTCAGGGCAATTGGAACGCTCCTTCCCGGGGGGGGGGGGGGGAAGGGGCTCGGACACAGCAGTGAGCAGGTGGGGGGTTGAGGATTCAGAGCTGCAGAACCACCGCTGGGCTTTCCCACCCAGTTCCTGTGTGGATGCAAACCTGCCCGGCGGCCCAGCCCTTCCCAGACTCGCTGGGCCCCGTGTCCACCCCTGCCGGCGAGGCATGACCGCAGATCCGAAGCCGCGGGTGTGGCCGGCAGCGCGATGCTCCGGGAGGCCGGGGCCGGGCGTTGAGAAGATGCTCGCGTCCCAGGGCCTGGAAGTGAGTCCGCTCTCAATTCTCTTGCTGTGTTTGCAGTCGCAAGGACGTTAATCCGACCCGACATTTCGTTCCGCCTCCCTCCCGCACCTGCCGGTCTTCCTTCCAGCAAAGAGTGGGCGGCTTGCCCGGCGAGCAACAGCGCGAGAGGGAACCCAGCAAAGTCGTCTTGTTTTCATTGTTTCATGCGATTACTTTTTTTTTTTTTTTTTTTTTTTGCTTCTGCCAAGTAATCCTCACTTTCCACTTGTGGTCAGGATGGGAGATTTCCTCGTAAAATGAACTGACTTTTTTTTTTTTTTCTCTGAAATGAGCCATTAAAGATGAGTGAGTCAGTAATAGCCGGGCGAAGACACCGCTGTGCTCGTGCTCCCCAGTCACGTCCCCTGGGCGGGCGCCCCTCAAGACTTCAGACCCCGGGGCCTCGGTGGCAACGCACCCACGTGGGCGATGTACTAGGTGCTCAGTAAATACTGCTGAGCACCGGCCAAAGGATGCCGTGTCCCTCCTTAATCCCAGGGACAGTGCCAGACTCCCATGAGGTAAAGGCGCAGGGGTGAAGACCCCAGCCCTGAGCGTGTCCTCGCGGTGCTGGGCGCACAGGGCCCCGTCCTGGGTGGGGACCTCCGTGGAGGTTCCTGCAGGACAGCGTGGCTGCGGCCCCCTCCCTACCCACACCAGCAGCAGCATCGCCCCCGGGGAGCCCGTTGGAAGCACAGGATCTTGGGCTCAGCCCAGCCCTCCGGGGTCAGGCTCTTTGAGTCAACGAGGTCCTGGGTGACTGCCCACCCGGGAGCTTGGAGCCGGCCCAGGAGATCTTATCGGAAGCAGGTGTTTAATCTGGGGATTGTTCTGTTTTATTGTGTTAAAATGTACATAACCTAATATTTACCATCTTGACCATTTGTTAAGTGTACGATTCGGTGGCAGGAAGGATATTCACAGGGTTGTGTAACCAACACCACCCTCTAGAGCCAGCATCGGGTGCCCCAAACCCTGCCCTGTTAAACCCTAACTCCCTCCCCTTAGCCCTCCCTTGGGCCCTGGCAGCCGCCTACCCTCTGTGGATTCGACTCCTCTAGGGGACCCCATATAGTGGAATCCTACAACATTTGTCCTCCTGTGTCTGGCTGCTGTCACAAAACATGTTTCCAAGGCCCATCCATGCTGTAGCATGGATCAGAAGTCCCCCCCCCTTTTTTAAGGATTTTATTCATTTATTTGTTAGAGAGAGAGAGAGAAATCAGGAGCTTGGGGGTGGGGATGGGGAGGCGCAGAGGGAGAGGGAGAAGCAGACTCCCCGCTGAGCAGGGAGCCCGACACAGGGCCCCATCCCAGCACTTGGGGGGTCGTGTCCTGAGCCGAAGGCAGATGCTTTACCGACGGAGCCAACCCAGGGGCCCCTGGAATTCCCTTTTTTATGATGGAATGATGTTCCGCACTTGTCTTACCCGTTCACTTGCCAGTAGACAGGTGCTGGGTCGCTTCCGCCTCTTGGCTGCGGCGGACCCTGCTGCTGTGAACACAGACGTACGAGAACCCTGGTTTCCATCCTTCCGAGGATGTACTTGTGTGTGTTTTCCACGGCGGCCACACCATCTGATGTGCCCACCAGCAATGCATGAGGTTCCAGGATCTCTACATCCTCCCCCAACACTCGTTATTTCTCTCTCTCTCTCTCTTTTTAATTTATGATAAGCCTCCTAGGGGTGGTGGTGAGTGGTGAGTGGTCCAGCTCTTGTCGCCTGTGGCTCTCTCATGACACGTACGGAGGAGATGCTGGAGGTTTTAACTAGAGGAGCCACCTGGAACTCCTGGTGGGCCTCTGCTTCGGAGACCTGATTCCTTCCATTTCAGGGCCGGGGGGGCTGCCTGCCTCTGGATCTCCCCATAGACCCCATCACGAATCTCCTGGACGGTGGTCAAAGCAGGCCCTAGGCTCTCCTTTCTTTTCTCAGCCACTGAGCCCTGGGCAGGGGGCTGGGAGAGGCTAGTGAGACTCACCCCACAGCCACCCTCCCCACCCCTGACCCCCACCCCCACCCCGGCCCCTGCAACCCCAGGGACTGGGCTTTCTGAAAGGTCAAGGTTCCAAGGGTCTGAGATGGGGTCAGTATTGTGGGAGAGACTTTGAGATGGGTTTCTAAAAGCCTGGGTTCTAATCCTGGTTTGGGATTTGGGACCTTTGGTTCAGCCAGCCCGGGCCCCAGAGCATCCTCCTTGTCCACAGTTCAGATGTGGTGTGGTATAGACGCTGCGGCATGGCGACGGGGTCAGAGGTGATAACTGCTTAGGAAATGTCTCCAGGTTTTACCGTGAGTGAAGAGGTGGGAAGTCTGGAGCTAGGTCTTTGAGGATGAAAACAGTTTGCCAGGCAGACATCGGAGGCCTTGTGCATCCAGCAAGGGGCTGGTTTTTTGGTCTTGCTGGAGCCCAGTGGTCCCCTGGGAGCAGCGGCGGGGGCAGGAGGATGGAGGGAGCAGAGGCAGGGAGGTGGGCTCCGAGGTCACCTGACCCTTCTCCTATCACCCGATGTCATTGCCTCCGGCTGATGGAGGAGCTAGCACATAGTAGGTGCTCAATAAGCCTTTGCAGAATGAGTGAGGGAGCTCTCTCCCATCTCCTGGAGTGGGCCCTGGGCTTCTGGACGGGTGAGGAGGTGGCTGGCTGAGCCTCCTGGGGCCTCTGGCTCCTTGCAGAAAGGAAGGTACCAGGGAAGGGGGCCCAGGGAGGGGGCTCAGGGGCCCCGGCCAGAGGCAACACAGCCCAGCTGACCTTTCTCCTTCCACCCTCTGCCCGCAGAGGCTCCAGCGGGAGAAGCAACCCAACAACTTGAACGATACCATCAGGGAGCTGTTCCAGGTGGTGCCCGGGAACGTGGACCCCCTGCTGGAGAAGAGGTCGGTGGGCTGCCGGCGCTGCGCCGTCGTGGGCAACTCTGGCAACCTCCGAGAGTCCTGGTACGGGCCTCAGATCGACAGCCACGACTTCGTGCTCAGGTGAGCGCCTGGAGCCCCTCGGAGCCGCGGGAGGCGCCTGGGCTCAGGGCCAGGAGGGCAAGACCCAGTCCTAGCAGGCCCAGACTCCCCTTCAGACCTTGGGGGCTCCCTTTGGGCCTCAGTTTCCCCATCTGTGCATTATAGGAAGGAGGTAGACCAGCAGTGCCTCTCTGGACCCCGATGGGAGACCATACATGGGAGGAAGCCAGCGGGTCGGGAGCTTTGCACAGAGAGGCCTGGAGGGAGGGCAAGAGGCAGTTGCAGACCCTTGTTCGATCTTTAAAATTCAGCCCCATTTTGCAACCTAGGCTGTAATAAAACTATGTGCTCTTAACGTAAATGCATTTCCCTGTCACCAAGGAGAATAGTTTCCCCGGGAAGAGGTGTATCCTGGGTTTCTTATAATCTCCACGCTGTTCAGTCGGCAGTGAGGCCGCTGCTCCCCAGGCGCCTTCTAGAATAGTCTCCCGTCTCTGCGATCTCTGCATTTATGTCCTTAGACTGCTCTCGCCCAGCTTCTCGGAGCCCCCATGTGCCCGGCGTGCGGCAGGAACATCCGTGGGGGAAGGAAAGCATCGGGTCCCAGGTCAGACAGACCTGAGTTCAAGGCTGCACACTTGCCAGCTCCGTGTCCTGGGACTAATTCTTGGCGTTCAGATTTCTCCCATCATAGAATAGGACCAGAGAATACCTCCCGGGCGCAGTCATCGTTCGGGTGTAACAAGGCACGCCTCTTGGCCAGGACGGGGCCTTGCACACAGTAGGTCAGCAGGAGTGGCCACGGTCAGGCTCACTCCAGAGCGCGTAAGAGAAGGAAAGCAGCAAGAGCATTTGAGCTGTGTCCTGATCGTCTCCATCGAAGCCGCCCCCGTGCGACGTGATGCGATGCGTGTCCCGCTGTCCCTTCCCTCCCAGGATGAACAAGGCCCCCACGGCGGGCTTCGAGATGGACGTCGGGAGCAAGACCACCCACCACCTGGTGTACCCCGAGAGCTTCAGGGAGCTGGCGGAGAATGTCAGCATGGTCCTGGTGCCCTTCAAGACCACCGACCTGGAGTGGGTGGTCAGTGCCACCACCACAGGCACCATCTCTCAGTGAGTCCCCGGGATGGAGAGCCCCCATGCCCTCACCGGTCCTCCGTGCCCCCACCATGTGGTGCCCGCACCAGGATGCCTCCCCTGCTGGACTTCCTTCTGGAATGCACCAGCCCTGCAGTGCAGCCTGCAGCGACTCCTGGTGCCTTCCTCTGCTGCTAACACCCTGCAAGCTTTGACCTTCCCCCCTCCTCAGGACTCCAGAATAGGCTCTAGGGCTTACTGGAAACTCCTCGGGAGGAGGGACCCCCCCCCCAAGAAAGGACTCTGCACATGACAGACCTGCGTTGTTTCTGCCGTGCATCCCAAGGCTGACAGCCCTCCACCTTGGGAGCTCTAAAAATAGCCCCAGGTTGCACTGGAGGCAGGCAGAGAGGCCCAGCACCCCCGGCCTGAGTCGTTGTGAGCTGCCCCGAGAATGGGGGCTCACCTGAGCGGTTCTTCTGTTCCAGGCACCCCACTGGGTACTGGGCACTTGCTGTCTCCTTGCATTCCTCCGCGGTTTGTGCCTCTCGCCTCCCTCCTCCCTGGGAGGACACAGAAGCCTGCCCGACCATGCTGCCCAAGCTTGAGAGCCAGGCTGGGCCTCGGTCTGAGCCCTAGGTCCCTTACTCTTCCTGAAAAGAAGCAGCTTCCCTGTCCAGATGTCCAGCAGCCTCCTAGTCCGGGGCCCGGCCAAGCCTGATGGCCTGGGGTGCAGGAGTCTGGGGCTACCTCCTCAGGAGGGCAATGAGGGATGCAGGCTCAGGCAGGGGAGGAGTGGGCCAGGCCTGAGCTCAGCTGCCCTCTCCTCCCACCCCGTCCCACGGGGTCAGGAGCATGAATTGCCCCAGTAGATCCCACGTAAGGCGTTTACATCTGCACCTTGGGGCACATGTAACATTGCAGATGGGAGGGGGCCTTGTGGGGCTCGTCCTTCATCCTTTGATCTGTGCTCCATCAGGCTCCTTCAGGCTTGCTTGGAGCCAGTCCCCTGGTCTTCACCTTTCTGGGGGAAAATATGGCATTAAAAAAAAATTCTTGGGATGAGCACTGGGTGTTATACTATGTGTTGGCAAATCGAACTTCAATAAAAAAGTCTATATATTATATATATATGTACAATACACATATGTATATCGTATATACATTTTATGTATATATACATATTTTTATAGATATAGAAAATTCTTGAGTGAGCCACGAGCGCCCTCTGGTGTCCGTAATGGGCCACTGCTGCAGGAGGACAGGTCGGGGCGGGAAGTGGCGTCTCTACCTCCCTCTCCAGGGTCAGCCCCAAGCGCTGCAGCCTGGCCCCCTCGGCCCCCTCCGCCCCCTCCCACATTAACCACCTGCTCTTTCTCTGCCTGCAGCACCTATGTTCCTGTTCCTGCAAAGATCAAAGTGAAAAAGGATAAGGTAAGTCGAGGCTGAGGTCCCTCATCCTGTGAGCTCAGGCTCAGTTTGGTGACAGAGAGCACCACCTCTCCCCTCTGCCAGCACCCGGCTCCAGAGAGCCCTTGGGCTCCTGGGTGGGCAGAGGCCTCCACGCAGCTTCCCGGCTCGACAGACAAACCCTGGCAAAGCCTCTCTCAAGTGGGGCCCCCGACCAGCAGTGTCACGGGGATATACTGTTGCGATGCACATACTCAGGCCTACCCCAGACCGACTGCATCAGAAACTCTACAGGGAGGGGACGGCCCAATGACCTGGGCTTTAACCGGCCCTCCAGGGGTGCTGATGTGGCTGCATTTAGAATCAGAGCTGTACAGGGGTGAGCTTCTCAAAGCCAGACCTCACCTCCTGCCTCCCTGGCTCCTCCTCCCCGGAAGGGGGTTGGCCAAGACCTGGGCAAGGGGCTGGAGGATGAAAGTCATGACGTGTCCACCACACATGTCCGTTGCACACACTGTGCTTTTTTAGATGTCGAGATGAGGGTCAGAGAGGTCAAGTAATGTGCTCAGGACCCCACAGGCAGTTCATGGTGTGGCTGGAACTGGAGCGCTCCCTGCGCCCCCAGCACCTGCTGTTCACACTGGAGTACACCGCCTGGGGGAGAAGCCACATGGGAATCCCTGTAGGGCTGAGTGGGTGGAGGGGAGAGCCTCCCAGACGGCAGTGGCTTGAGGCCGGGTTGAGCAATGAACCGTTCACCAGACACCCACATGGTCCTCAGCTCCAGTCTCTTCCTGGGGGCTGGCGTCAGGCTTCCTAGACGTGCATGCTCACCCTCTCCTGCCTGAGAAGTCCCCTTCGCTGTCCTCACGGCAGCTGTGAGGGTGGAGGCAAGGGCAGGTCTGATACCAGACACCTCCCGGCGTGGCCAGCCTGGCTGTGTGATGCCGGGCCCACGGCTTCGCCTCTCTGAGCTCGGTTTCCTCATCTGTCACACGAGCAGAGGGAAGGCGAGCACATGGGACCATGTCGGGGCGTGGAGACCATTCAGGCCCATCACCGGCAGGACAGGTGTCTCGGTGCATGTGTTTCCTGCAGTGTGACCAGAGCGATCCCGTCCCCCCCTCATGCTGTTTCCCGGAACCTCGCTGGCCTGATTTTGGATGTTCCTCGGAAGTCTCCTTCTCAGGGAGCCTCCTCCCCTCCAGTGCTTTCTTGTCTCCTCTGCTTAATTTCTCTCCACGTTTCTGTAGTTGTGTCTTAGCATCCTTTGGCCCCGGGGTTAGGCTACTGCCCGTCCTTCCCACTAGACGTAAGGCCCACGAGTGCAGGGCTCCCGGTTCCGTTCACGGCTCTGTCCCCCGAGGCCCCAGCAGCGGGGGGCACCTGACGGGTGCTCGGCGTCCTGTGCAGTGGCTCACGAAGGCCTCTGTCCTCCCCTCGCAGATCCTCATCTACCACCCGGCCTTCATCAAGTACGTCTTCGACAGCTGGCTGCAGGGCCACGGGCGGTACCCGTCCACCGGCATCCTCTCCGTCATCTTCTCGCTGCACATCTGTGACGAGGTACGAGGGCTCCCCCTCCCACCTTTCCAGGAGCGTCACTGAGAGCACCTGCCTTCAGGCTCTCCTCCTTCCTCGCCGCGGGCTCCAATGTAGTTCTTTTTCCAGAAGCTCCGATTCCTTCTCTCCCCGCTGGAGCTTGCAGCGCTGCTGTCACAGTGGGTTTCAGGGAGTAGCGCTGTTCTCCGAGGAGCACGTTCTCAGGAGCAAGGGTCCTGGCTCCCTCTGTGCGGGCTCCCAAGGCAGAGTCAGAGCCCATGGGTGGAAGCTCAGACTTGGGGGGCAGAGTAACGGAGCCGATCGTAATAGGGAGACCTGTGATTTGAATCTCGGCCTCTTATTAGAATTGTCCCTGGAGGACACCTGAGTGGCTCAGTGGTTGAGCATCTGCCTTTGGCTCAGGGCGTGATCCCGGGGTCCTGGGATTGAGTCTTGCATCAGGCTCCCTGCATGGAGCCTGCTTCTCCCTCTGCCTGTGTCTCTGCCTCTCTCTCTGTCTCTCATGAATAAGTAAATAAAATCAAAGAGAAAAGAGAAAGAAAGAAAGAAAGAAAGAAAGAAAGAAAGAAAGAAAGAAAGAAAGAAAAAGAAAGAAAAAAGAAAGAAAAAAAGAAAGAAAGAAAGAGAATGAATCATCCCTGGAGCTAAATCCCAGCACCCAGACCATGCCCAGGCCCATGTTCACCAGAATGTCCGAAAGTGGGGACCAGGCACCCAGGGGTTCCTCTCTTCCCCGAGGTGGAGAACCCGTGATTGCCAAGCGTGCTTTGTATTTTCCTTCGTGGACTGGCCTGACCGTCCATCCTCCATTGATGCTGTGGGGTGCTCGCTGCAGCCCTGGCCAGAGGAGCGGGAGGGACCACAGCACCCACCCCCCACTTCTTCCCGGGCCCTGCATCCGGCAGCGCGATCCTTCTTGTCCCATGCAGGCATCCCTGCCCCTACCCCACCTGGCTCCTGGGTGGAATCCCAGGCAGGGTGGGGGCAGGGGTTGTTTCGTCACCCCTATCCCCACCCCAGCCCCGCTGTGCCATCAAGACCCTGGGTGTCTCTCCCAGAAGCTGCATCTCCTCCTTCTCTCCAGCTGGCTCCCTCAGAAGTGCTACTCCCTCCTCTTCCCTCCTCCTGTCCCCTGCCCTGGGTGCGGCCCCACCCCCAGATCTGCCCAGACAGCGCTTCCTCTCCCTGGAAAGCCCTCGATTATTCCCTCCCGGACGTCTTCCACTCCTGTCCCGAGACCCAGTTCAGATGTCACCTGCGCCCGCAGATCCCTAGATTCCTTCTGGGCCCTGCCCTCCATGCTGCGGGAGGCCTGAGGTTAGCTCCTGTCCCTCACTGGTGCCCCTGGCCAGTCACAAGCTCCAGGTCTGAGACCCCGAGGCTCCCGTGTCCCTGATTTCCCCAGCGCCCACCCAGGGGGCCCCGACGAAGGCCTCCCTGAAGTCTGACGTGTGTGGCGCAGTGCCCGGCATCAAGGAAATGCTCAGTAAATGCTTGTCACATGTGGGCAAGGGTCCTGGTCCCTGGAGGCCCCCGGACCACATGGACATTAGCCTAAGGGAATGAAAAGAACAGCACCTACCACCTGCCTCCATGTGCTCATTCCCTCTTGGCCCCAGTTTCCAGCTGGGGGACATGAGACTCAGAGCAGTGGGCTTGGCACTTGCAGGCTGCAGCAGCAGGTGGCCCTACCCTCAACCCCGCTCTCCCTGCGGGCTCTGGGGAAGGGGCCCTCTTGCCCAGCACCCTGTGGGCCACCCCTGGGCCGGAGACTTGACTTTGACCTCTCGTGCTTTTGCTCCTCTCAGCCCCTGGGAGGCCCAGCAAGGAGCTGGAAGGGTTCATGGGGAGAAGGCTTCATGTGGCTCTTCGGAGGTGGTGTTGACAGAGTCAGGGGTTCCCTGTGGGCACCCGTTCTTCAAGCTTCTTCCTGTAGCCCTGCTGTCTGGTTCTGACCTTTGCTTTGCCCTCCCCCCCCCCCACAGGTGGACTTGTACGGCTTCGGGGCAGACAGTAAGGGGAACTGGCATCACTACTGGGAGAACAATCCATCGGCGGGGGCTTTCCGCAAGACCGGGGTGCACGACGGAGACTTTGAGTCCAACGTGACGTCCACCTTGGCGTCCATCAATAAGATCCGGATATTTAAGGGGAGATGACGCTGCCAAGGAGCACCGGAGCCCGCCTCTCCGTGGCCAGCCCCAGCCTCTGGCTGGAGCCAATATGTGCTGGGGGCTTTGAGGGCCAACCTTGGGGGCGTGTTCAGGTGCCCCTCGCACCCCCTCGCACCCCGACATTTGGCAGCATCGACTCAGCAAGGCCCTAGAGCCCCGCTGGGTCTGCAGAGCGAGTGTCAGAACTGGTCTTGGATGGGGACACCCCCCCCACCTCCCTGCACCGCCACTGCTGTCCTGGAGCGGGGGGCAGGTGGGGAGACGCGGGAGGAGGTCCGGTCTCCAAACGCTCAAGTCATTTCAGCTTTGGGGGGCGGAGGGGGAGATATCGAAGACTCCGTGTTCTAAAGTGAAGGACACTGGCCCTGGGCAGAGGGGTCCGGGGCTGACTCTCTGACTCTGATGCTTGCTGGGTGAGGACGACCTCGGGACAGAGCCACGTCGGGCCATGTGGACGCTGGGGATGAGGAGGCACCTTCCTCTGCACGATGCCCGGCCCCTCCCTCACCGCCTCTGCGGTCTTCCCGAAGCTCCTCTGTGGTGGCCAGGAGAGGCGCCCCACGCCGAAGGTCCTCACAGACGCTTGGCCAAGTGTTTCAGACTCCAGCAGGTGTCTTCTTTGCAAGCTGAGGCTCCCTTGAGTGATCGATCTTTGTGGCCATAAATGATGGCTGAGAGCAGATCTGACTACTTCCACGTGCCTTTGTGCCTGGGGGAGAGCTGTGCGCATTGGCTGAAATAAGGCAAAAGCCTTAACTCGGGAACGGGGAGCTCCCCCCTCCCCCCCCCCCCAGCAATGCCACCCCCTTGCTCTGGATCTGGGCAACATCTTCACTAGTTTCCTGAGGCGGTCCCAGAGCTGGAACGAAGCTAGGATGATGCTCAACGGCGTCCAGAGGCGCGTCAGCCGCGGCACGTCATTCTTAGGTTCACAGACTGATGGATTTGGGGCCCATGACCTTCCAAGGCCACACACAGAACCTCCACCAGCCAGCACTTTCCCCCAGGAGCCCACCCTCCGGGCCAAGTCCCTCCGGGCCACCTGCACAGTGTCCTGGGGTTTGTGGGGCCATCCCAGGAACATGACCCTCGGAGCGGGAGAAGACATACCTCATCCTCTCACTTCTGGGCTGCTCTGATTCCTCCTCATGATTATTTATTGATTTATTATTATTATTTTTAATTCAGCTGACATTGCGTGCACTTTGTGGCTCCGTAGCTGGTCCTGATGTTTTAATTAAGCTTGCTCTTGCTTCACCTGGCAGCCGGGGCATGGGGGGCTTAAGTCAAGGTTTGCAGGAGTCCTCAGACTTGGGAGGGGGATGCATATCTAGGGCTTGGGGGCTCGCTGGTGGGCAAATGCCAGGGTTTCAGGTTGGTAGGTTCTCCAAGTGCTCTGTACCTCCTTCCCTTCAGCTCTGCCTCCCTTCTCCATCATTGCGGGTCGGGATCATTCTCAGGCTAAGAATCTGCAAAACCCAGCGGGACGACCTTGGGGCCAGGTGGGGAGTGGAGTCACACAGGCAGGGCAGCAATGGTTGGCTCCGGTTGCTGACACTGAATCAGAAAATCCACGTTTCCTATTGAGAGCATTTCCTAACAGGCCACTGCTACTTCGAGGAGGTATGACAGCGTCCCGGCTGTCACGGGGGCCCGTCTCCTGTGCTCCTTGCAGCAGCACTCTGGCAAGTTCTGTTCTCCTGGCTTCAGTCTCTGCCTCTGCAAACAGAGAGGGAGGCATTTGGGGAGCTCAGGGGGCCACAGGTGGTTTCAGGGGGTTCGCAAGTGTCCCCAGAGAGAGCACGCCATGCCCGTGTTTTACCCCAAGCCTGTGTGTATGAGCATATATTCCTGGGGAGCGGTGCCGTAGCTTTCATTCGATTGTCAGAGGTTCAGAACCCAGACAATGGTTTACACAAAACGACAGCAAGCAAACAAAAACCCGTTTGAGCTTTAAAATCCTCCAACACTTAGACTCTCTTGACCCCTAAAGGCTCGTAAATCACTACGAGGTCAGCAAGCTGATCATAAATCCCCAAAGACTATATAGCAGGCATCTGTGGGTTGGCTGATGAATCCGCTGAGAGAAGTGGGCACAGAGCGGCCTCCGAGCTCCTCCCCGAGTCCTGGAAGAGCCGAGTCCAGTCAGAGCTGATGGGTCCAGAGCGCTCAGCCTGCATCGGAGCTGTGCTGAGTCAGGACAGGTCCCCAGAGTAAGGAGGGGGGTCTCTCTCCCTCCCCACCCCACTGGGCCATCCAGGCTGTTGAGAGGACTTCCCACCTGCCTTCCCGTGTAACACTTGAGAAAAGTGAGGCCCGGAGAAGGGAAGTGGCTTGCAAAAGTGAACCTGTTGTGCTGGACAACGCAAGTCAGACCCTTTGAGCAAAGATAGAGCACGATCGCTGCATGTTGAACACACCTCGAGGTGGGCTTTCCCAGCCGGCTTCCATCCAGCCTCCCTGAGGACTGTGACCGGGCACAGGTGGGCTCCTCAGGCTGCCTGTGGTGGCCCCCGCAAGCTCCGGTGTCTGCCTTTTCCCCCATCCCTCCAGTGAGGGAGACATCCTTGCTCTTCCCTCGGCCCCAGCAGACTTGTCTTTGTGTTCGTTGGCTTAGCAAAGGGGTCTAACCCGAATGCACCGACGGGCTTCAGCCCCCTGGCATCCGTACCTGGGGTAAGGGTGGCTGAGAATCCGACCAGAGTATTTCCCCCAGAGCTCGTGGCTGTGGGCAGGATAACGAGAACCACCCGCCCCTCCACTCGGAGGAGGCTCCTGAATGCCCACCCCAGTGTTGGGCTCCCAGCCTAGGGCCCTGCTTGCTCCTCAAGCACAGAGCTCCCTTGGAGGCCAGTCCTGGACCCCGGGACAGGGAGCAGAGGCATCCCTGCCTCTCTTAGTGCTGAGCCCAAAGCCAGGAAGACCAGGGCCGAGGAGGGAGGGAGAGATTTTAGCACCCTCCCCGGCCCTGGGGAGCCAGGAGCTGGAGTCACCTGCCGCAAATGCAAGACCTAGTTCCACGTGCCCCCCTCCGCCCCTGTCCTCACCCCCTTGATAGGGCGGGTTTGTAGCGTCTGGCTCCCAGAGCCATCAGGCAAAAAAAAAAAGTTCTTAAAGAGATGATTTTAGGGTCATGTGCTTAGTGGGAGAAGCCGAATTCAAGGAAATGGGACTTAAAACGGGGAAGCCAGACGAGAAGGTCGGGGGCGGGGGGGGGGGGGTCCGGGTGCGATTCTTGCAAGTGCTGAGGCCAGAAGGACCGAGCCTCTCGGGGTCCAGGGTAGAGTGGAGTCAGCGGGGAATATTTAGGACTGTGATGTTTGTGGTAATGGTCCTCTTCAAGGCAGCCTGGACACAAAGCAAAATGGGAAACAGAAAAGAACTCACCGTCCCTCACGTGGGTAGGACCAAAACCGCTTTCTCCAGGGAGGCGCAAGCCCAGAGTGGCCGCCGTCCGGCCAAAGCCAGCCTCGTGCCATCGGGAACCGGCCACCACCCATGCCCCTCCGGAGAGCTCGGGGTCGTCATCGTGTCCACCACGGGCATCTGGTTGGCAGCAAACGTGCCCACAGGCCACTGGCCGGTCATCGTCCCCTGTGGTCTGGGCTGACAGGTTTGAGACCAAGTCCGCTGCCTCGCTCGGGCCTGTCCTGAAGACACCAGCGCCCCGGCCTGTGGGGTGCTCCGTGATGCCTCCCTGCGGGGAAGAGCAGGGGACCAGGGAGGAAGATCAGAGACAGGTGAAGAAGCGACAGTCCCCGCATCCCAGCCTCAGGGCATTTGCATCCTCTTGGCCCATACTTTTCCTCTCGGCCCAGCAGACGTCTGCCCTGCCCTTGCCCTTGACCCCATTGCTGCGCTTCCCTCAAAGGACGGGCCTGGCCTTGGTGGCCACCTGCGGACAGCCCTGCGCCCAACGCCTGCTTCACCCTGGGGCCCGGGTCCTGAGGGGCCGCCCCCAGGACGATCGCGGCTGCCCCACGGCGCCGGCCCCTCACCGGCTTCGCGTCCAAGCCAAAGTTTCTCGAGCACTTTTTTGTTCTTTGCAATCATGCTGGGTTCATTGTTGGTATTTTAAAATTTTGCTTCCCTCTCCCTCTGGCCTCGCTCCTGTGTGTGTTTTGTAGCTGAGCGCTAACCTGGATGCTTTTTTGAATGACCTTTGCAAGAGCCTGCCTTCCTCGGCCTCTGCTCTGTTTTATTTATTGTTGAATATTTCCAATGATCCAAATCAAAGTGAATTAAAACAAAGCTATTTTATCGTTCGGGGATGGTCGTCCTGTTTCTGCGTCGTCCGGTCAGGGGTTGTTCTCCGTCCTGCAAGAGGCCCAGTGGCTCACCTGCTGAGGGAGCACCTTGGTCTAGGGTCGTCCCCGACCAAGTGCCCAGGGGTTCAGAGCATGAGCGTCTCAAATGCCACTGTGCCTCTCGCTGCTGTGTGACTGTGATGAGTCACCTAGCCTCTCTGAATCTCAGCTGCCCCCTCTGTCGAATGGACGTGACCGTACTGGCCGTCACAGGGGGTGTGACCTCTGTGCCAGCTGCTCCAAGCACCTGCTGAGTGAAACAGCCTTGGCCAGGGCCCCATGCGGGCCGAATGAGGGTTCATTCTTTTCCCGATGAATGGGTACATCTGCGGATGCATCCAAGTTTGATCCAGAGTCGGCCCAAGTCTTGTTGTGAACAGATCCAGAAATCCAGGATTGGGGTTCTGTAATGCAAAACTGGCGTCAGCGGTAGTAACTCCCAATCTGTGTGGCATGTCACAGTTGGCACGAGGCCTCCCTGGGCACGATCCTGAGTTCTCCAAGCAGCCCTGCGGGGCTGGTGAGCGTTGCCGGGCTTCTACATGGGCAAAGCCAGATGGGATTAGAGGTGGGCTTCAAAGCAAGCAGACCCAGGGCTCCTGTCTGTCACTCTGCAGCCCCCCACGAGGATGTCTCCCAGGTTCATTTGGGAAGTTTGTCTGCGGCGACCCTCTGAAGGCAGTGTCAGAGCAGAAGGGCACAGAGAGGAACGCAGGCGGCCTGACTCCAGGGCCTTCTTATTAGCTGTGTGAGTTCGAGCAAGGTCCTTAACCTCTCTGTGCCTGAGCTCCTTGTGGGTAAAGCCGGGATGCCGGGGTACCTACCTTAGAAACCTGCTTGAGGATTCAATGAGTTACACACCGCGGGCTAAGAAACACATGCCCCTGAAGCCTCCGATAGATGTTTCCTGTTATGAAATCAAGCTCGTGCGTGGAGAAGGACATGCCAGCCAGACTGTGAGCCCCCCTCCCTGGGCACCCAGGCTGATTTCTTTTGCCCCCTCCACTTCCTTCTTGCACCTCTTCCCAGGCTCCTGCAGCCACTGCTGGGGGCTCTGGTCACCCCTGATTGCTTTCCAAGTGGCTTCTCTAACTCTTAACATTCCCCTTCCTTATTCACCCATCACTCTGTTATCCTCACCCCATCACGGCTGCTGTGCTCTCTGGGGCGGGGAGTACTGTTAACAGGGCCTCCCTCCCCCATTAGAGACCCAGCTTCTAGCAAGTTCCTTCCTGGGAGAGCTCAGGTTCCAGCTGCGATGTGGGAAAGCAGCCACCAGGTGGTGACACATGCAGGCAGGACCCATCGGTATTGCTCAGCCAGCGGGGAGCTCATTCCCACCCGCTTTCCAGGCGGAAAGGGGGCCAGGGAAGGGAATGGAATTAGTCAAAACCCTCCACAGAGAGCCCTGAGGACCTAAGGACATTTCTTGAGGACCCCCCTGGCACCTGCCCAGACACAGAGGCAAGAGCTGCAGCCCCCTCCATGCTATGCATCCCCCCAACGCCTCCCACAAATGCAGGTCCTCCAGGATTTGGTGGCTGGGGCCCTGGGAAGGTCCTCCCAGGTGCACCCCTCAGGCTGCTCCAAACACACACCTCACTGTTCAACAGAGAGATAAGGGAATTATTTTTTTTAAGATTCATTCATTCATTCATTCATTCATGATAGACGTAAAGAGAGAGAGAGAGAGGAGAGAGAGAGAGAGAGAGAGACACAGGAGGAGGGAGAAGCAGGCTCCATGTCGGGAGCCTGGCATGGGACTCGATCCCGGGACCCCAGGATTGCGCCCTGGGCCAAAGGCAGGCGCTAAACTGCTGAGCCACCCAGGGATCCCCAGATAAGGGAATTAAAAAGAAGCCCCTGGGAAGAAGTGTTCTAACTTCTTCTTTTAAAACATGAAGGTTTTAAAACACATGCACGAATGGTGAGTGTACGAACCCCAGAAGCTCGTTCTCCAGATTCAACAGTCATGGATGCTTTGCACATGTGCCACTTTTTTTTTTTTTTCTTTTCCTTCCTTTATCATCATCGCTGTGAATTTCCTGTGCTTGGAGGTCTGCCTCAAAAGTGGCTTTGCCCCTGTGTCAGCGAGTGAGTGCCACGGAAGCCTGCCTGTCCTGTGAGACCACAGGGTCACCCAGTGAGGCGGACGGTGTCCCGGATCCTCTGGGGAGGTCCATGGGGACCGTTCCAGCTGTCCTCAGGCGTGGCTTAGGTGGTTAGTTTTTTCACACCAGGATTCACTACAGGTCGTGTCACTAAAGAAACCTTCCGTATGTTAGATCGCATCCCCTCCCATGAGAAGAGGTTGTATGAGGCCCGGGACCCCTGTGCGCTGGTGGAAACCTAGACTGAGTCAAGGGTCCCTCTGTGCTGCTGGGGAAGGACCTGCCTCTCTGCCTCTACTTTTTTTTTTTTTTTTAATTTATTCATGAGAGACACAAAGAGAGAGGCAGAGACACAGGCAGAGAGAGAAGCAGGCTCCCTGCAGGGAACCCGATGTGGGACTCGATCCCAGGACCCTGGGAATCACGCCCTGAGCCGAAGGCAGATGCTCAACCACTGAGCCACCCAGGTGTCCCTCTGCCTCTACTTTGTTCACTGACTCAAAACCTACCAAGTAGAGGCACCTCCGGGGCTCAGGTCCTGACACCCCTACGTCACAATATCCATCTGTAGGATGATGCCAATGTGTTCAAGTGCTCTTGTGGCTCTGCTCCCTCTAAGGCCCGCCCTGGACATGCCCAAGCCCTGGAGCCCTGTAGAACAAGGTAAAGCCCTCTTGGTCACCTTCAGCTGAAACACTGGGTTCTCACAGGATGGGTGAATCCCAGGAAACTGCTTCTCAGAAACGCTGGCCAGCCACCACACCTAACGTGCTATGAACACACGGAATGATTCAGAGACTGTCTGTGTTCAACTCCGACCCACTGCTGTGGACTGAATTGTGTTCCCTGGAGTCATAAATTGAAACCCTAGCCCCCCAGTGTGATTCTACTTGGAAGGGGGCCTTTGGGAGGTGATCAGGTTTAGAGCAGATCATGAGGATAGAGGCCCATGAAGAGATTAGCGGCCTTGTAAGAAGAGACAACAGAAGTTGTCCTTCTCCATCACCACCACCACCACCAGCAGCAGCATCACAACCACCACCTTCATCTCCACCACCACCACCTTCATCACCACCACCACCACCATCATCACAACCACCATCTTCATCACCACCACCATCACCACTATCACCACAACCACCACCATCACCACCACCACCACCATCACCACCATCATCACAACCACCACCATCATCACAACCACCACCTTCATCATCACCACCACCTTCATCACAACCACCATCTTCATCACCACCACTACCACAACCACTATCACCACTCTCATCACAACCACCACCATCACCACCATCACCACCACCATCACCATCACCATCACCACCACCACCATGTGAACACAGCAACAAAGGAGCTCAGGATGCCCCCACCCTATTGGCTCTGGAAAGTACAGTGGTCCCCAACATCTCTAGTTTCTGGGCCTCTAAGGGGCTTATTCCAGACTGGCCTGCCTGTTGCAGACAGGAGGCCACATACAGGGATAGAAAAGTCGGTTCAACTGGGTGAAATAAGCAAGAGCCAACCAGATCTTTTGCTGCAATTCTAAGTCACATCCTCAGATTCAGCCTGACCCAAAGTACAAGTGACAACAGGCTCTCAAATCAATCTCTCTGTTAGCTCAGAGCTTGTTACAGAAAGGCAGGATTGTGGCCCTAAGACTCCCACCACTTGGACACAGAGACATGGACCCTGCCAGGTTAGAGACCATGGGGGCTGTGGGTCTGGATGAGAAATTGCAGGAAGTGAGCAGGCACAGTCTTAGGAGGGGGGATAGCACAAGGAGGGTTAGAAACAGTGAGCAGAGAGGCCACAGTTCCCCGGGGCAGTGTAGTGCCCCTGAGTCCAGGGCCAAGATGACTTTAGGGAGAAATGAGGCATGAGGTGGCTTTCAGGATGGAGCAGTACCAGGTGATGGAGAGGCTGAAGGTGAAGGGAGGAAGTGGGGGGAGAGTAGAGGTCCAGGCCCACGGGGGCAGGTTCTATAAATGAGCTCTACAGGGACACTAAAGTCACTGGAGTAGAGGCACAAATTGGGTAGAAACACACTTAACGAATTTGCGAAGTCCACCAGGAATGAGGGAAAGTAGGCAGCAAGATGGCAGGTGCCAGGGCACAGACAAAAGGGCAGTGGTGTAGCCCAATGGCAGGTGCAGCTAGAGAAAGGTCTGGTGACAATGAGGGGGTGGGAAATAAAGTCCAGAAACATCAGTGTGGGCCCCTAAGGACATGGTCCTCACCCCGGATGCTGCTGCTGGGAGTCAGAGAAAAGCAGCCAGAGGCTGGGGTGTTCACAGTGTCCTCAGGACCCCCAGCATGCCTCCTGGGTCAGGGCAGGGAGCCTCCCTCTTGACAGGGCCGGGGAGCTCCCCGCCTGTGCCTGGTACGCTTCCTGGAGCACAGAAGACCAAAGCCAGGGGCTGTGAGTGCTATCACCTGAGAACATCTTTTCTCAGGCCTTCCGGAAGGGGTGCCTACCGGTTGTATGAACTATTGCTGCAGAAAGCGGAGTGCCCTGAGGGTGTCTGCAGAGCCACCCAGGTCCAGGTCCCCCTTCCTGTGGCTACTCATGACATCTGAGAACTCCTCCCTCTCCATGTTTTCTAACCTTTGGACTGGCTTTGCTGAACCTTTATCTAAAACAGAGCGCTCTGTCTGGTGGGTGTAGACCTGCAGATGGCTTGTAGCTTTCTCCCCCCTGGCGGCGCCCCCATGAAGAGGGCTGGGTTGGATCACGGACCCCCACATGCCCTGAGAGTCCAAGACCTGGATCCAGACATGGAGCTTCTCTGCAAAGTGGAAACGACTCCTAACTGGTCCACCTCATGGGATAGTG